ATCGTTACCTAAAGTGGTAAATAAAAAGAATTCTAGTCAAGTTCTCTCTCTCTCCGTCTGTCTCTCTCTTTCTCAGAAGGAGGGGGAGAGGAGAGAGGGAGGGAGAAAAGTGTGCATATGAGTGTGTGCATCTACATGTAGATGGATGATGTCTATTTGGATGCAGAAATACATGCACATAGTTGCTGTCACATCATAGAGTGAAGAAGAAGGATGGGCTTGGGAGTCAGATCTGACCTCACATCCCAAAGCCCTGCTACTTACCAGCTAGCTGTGTGATCTTAAGCAAGTTATTTTAACCTGTCTGGGTTTAAATTTTCTCAATAGTATAATGAAGCTAATCATAATTACCACCTCTTAATACACAAAGTTCAGTATTGACACACCAAGAAATATAGCCAGAGAAATAGATTCCATCTGTTCCAGTCACTTTACTCAGGCCGTGCAGAGAAGCAGAGTAGCCCTAAATATAGAAATGAATTGAGTATTGAAAAGTGTAATGTATTCTAAGCATCTGAACCTTGAACTATTTCAAAGCAATAATTATGCAGCATCTGTGGCCGCATTTGTGTTTGCTACTACTCAGTCAGGGGCATTTTAATCACAGCTTTTGCTAAGAGATTGTTGTGTCCTTTTGTGTGTGTTTTATTCATCTGCTCACTAAATGTCAGTATTTATTGCAATTAATTAGCCAGCTATATCTTTGTTATTTTAGATAGATTGCATTAGGTTACATTCTTAAATGAATAATAGGCCCAATTGCGAAATTCTCAGGAAAAACAGTTTTGCATATTAGTTGTAGATACAGATTCATCAATCATCTTCATCATTAGTACCATCGAATAATATAAAGCATTCAGATTCACAGGACTAAGTTACCAAGGAAATGAGATATTTTGGTTTGGCTGCTCTGATAATTAGATCACAGCAGTGGTTCCAAATCACACTTTTGAAAAACATTTTAAATTGTGAAATACACACAGTGGAAAAGTGCATAAAATATAAATATGTTCTCTTAACAAAATATTGTAGAGAAGATACTTATGTAACCCCTCTCAGTTCAAGAAGTAAAACATTGCCAGGACCCAAGAAGCTGCCCATATGCCTCTTCCCAATCATAGAGGATACCCCTAGGGAGGTAGGTATCCTCCCTACCCCAACCACTATCTTGACTTTTATCCTGTTTCTCTTTATAGCTTTACTACCCGTATATGCATATCTAGGTGATGCAATCTAGTTTTGCCTACGTAAAAGCTTTGCATAAACTGAATTATCCAGAATTTATTCTTTCAATCTGGCTTGTGTTACTCAGTATTAGGATTTATCCATGTTATTGCATGTAGGTGAAGTTTGTTCATTTTCATTATTGTATAATAGTCCATTGTATGAATCCACCAGTTCTCTTATGGATGGATGTTTGGGTTGCATCTAGTTAGGGGATATCATGGGCAACATTGCTATAAACATTGTTTACATCTGCTGGTGCATATAAGTGTTTGTTCATTTTCTGTTGGCTTCCTTCTCTTTTTCTTATTGACTTCTAGGGGCTCTATGTATGCTCTAGATACGAGTTCTTTGCTAGTCGTTATGTGTTGCAGATACTTTCTCCTACTCTGGCTTGCCTTTTTGCCCTCTTAATGACATTTTTGATGAACTTAAAAGCGTTTCCTCTTCTTTTTTATTTTGAGATGGAGTCTCACTCTGTCGTCCAGGCTGGAGTGCAGTGGTGCAATCTCGGCCCACTGCAACCTCCACCTCCTGGGTTCAAGCGATTCTCCTGTCTCAGCCTCCCCCGTAGCTAGGATCACAAGCACGCGCCACCACAGTCTGTTAATTTTTACGGGGTTTTGCCATGTTGGCCAGGCTGGTCTTGAACTCCTGACCCCAGATGATCCGCCCACCTCGGCCTCACAGTGCTGGGATTACACGTGTGAGCCACTGCACTCAGCCAAAAGCGCTTCATTTTAATACAGTCAAAATTATCCATCTTTTCATTTATAGGCAGGGTTTGTGTCATAATTCATTTTTTTACCTTCAGGTCATAAAGATATTCTCCTCTTCTATCTTTATTTTCTTTTATTTGACTAATTAATTTATTTAAGACATGGGGTGTCAAACTTCTTGTCTCAGGCGATCCTCTTACCTCAGCACCCCCCAACAAGTAGCTGGGATTAGAGGTGCCAGCCACTGTGCCTGGCTATTTCATCTTCTGAATGTTTTATTGTTTTGCTTTTCACATTTATTTTTACAGCCCACATGGAATTGGTTTTTGCGAATGATATGAGAGATGATCCAATTTCATTTCCCCCTATAGATAGCCAACTCTCCTAATACCATTTATTGAGAAGGCTATTTATGTACTGAAAATCTTTCCCCCATCTGCTTTGAAGTGACACATTTGTCATAAATCAAGAATCCACATCTGGATCTGTTTCTGGGCTTCCTATTCTATTCCCTGAGTCTATTTGTCCTTGTGCTAGTCATATACTGTTTTAATCACCACAGCTTTATATGTTCTGTTATCTGGTAGAGTGAGTCCTCCCACATCATTGCTCTTCAGATGTATCTTGGCCCTTTGCTTTTCCTTATAAAGTTTAGAAATCAACTTGTCAAGTTCTACAAAAATAAACAAATGAAATAACCCATTGAGGTTTTTTATTGGGACTTAGCTGTTTACTTTCTTTCAATAAGGTGTTTGTAGCTTTTTCCAAAAGAGGTCTCCTATAACTGTTGTTAGATTTCTTCCTGGACACTTGATTTTTAAAAGCAGTTGTAAATGTTATCTTTAAGATGATAACATTTCTAATGTTTATTGCTGGTATATAGAAGTATAATTGTGTGTGTGTGTGTGTATTTATCTAGTAACTTTGTTAATTCTATTCTTATTCTAATAATCATTTGTAGATTCTTTTAGATTTTTCTAAGTTCACCATATCATTTGTGAATAATGACAGATTTGATTTTTTCCTTTCCAGTTCTCATATTTTGTTCTTGCCTTAGTGCACGAAGACCTCCATAGCAAATAGTTTTTTTAAAAAAATAACTTTGCTTTTTGGCCAATTGGATAACTAAAATTTATTAATTTTGATTAATTTGTTAAACAAATTAACTACTTTTTAAATAGAATCAAAAAATTCAAAAAGTACCAAAAAGATGAATATATGAAAAGTCTCTCTCCTACTCCAGACCTCCATTGGCTTGTTAAAAATATCCCATTTTTTCTAGTCCCCTTGACATGCTGAATCTGGAACTTTGGCCAGTGGAGCTTCACGATGTATGTTTTTGTTTTTTTTTTTTTGCTCCACACGTAACTGATATTTGAAGACCAATACAGAAAGTTTGCCTATGCAGAGATTAATGGGATTTGTGTAACACGGTGATCTTCAACCTTGGCTGTACATTAAAATCACCAGGAGGCTTTAAAAAAAGTCTTGATGCCTGTCCTGTACACTGGGTCTACTGATCTGAATCTCTGTAGATGCTGTAGTGGGCATCTAGAGTTTCCATAAGCTCCCCAGGTGATTTGGGGAGGCAGGAAGGAGGGCTTACAAAGGGGCGAGAGGAAACATTTGGGAGTGATGGGTATGTTTCCTATCTTGATCGTGGCGATGGTTTCATAAGTGTGTACATATGTCAGAACTTATCAAATTGTACACTTTAAGTCTGTTCCATTTATTATATATCAATTTTGCACCAATAAAGCAGTTTAAAGATAAAGCTGTCCAGGTGATTCTGATGCACAGCAATGGTTGAGAATTATCCTTGTAATAGAAAAGGCACATGACTGGAAGTGGAAGTTGGATAGACTCTCATCTGTCAACAGTTGGCTGTGCACACTTAGACAAGTAACTTCCACCTTTCTGGACCTCAGGTTCATTCTAGTTAGTGGGTTCAATTTCTTCACAAGTACTTTTCAGCTGGCATGTTGATTCTTCTACTCAACCTGGCAGTGCTGGCCAGGCTGCTGGTGCACCTCCTGGCCACACGAGGGAGCCGTACAGCTGGCAGCCTCTGACTTTCCACTGAACACTCTTGTGAGGTGAAAATAGGCTGGTCAGGCAGGGAGGGGGGTCTTTCCATTCTTCCTGTGCTTCTCCTCTTGGTGAATGCAAGCTCCACTCCTCAACGGTCATCTTCAACTACCCTCACTCACTGATCTCGCTGCAGGTGAGCCTTTTTTTAAGCAAAGCAAATCCATGAATTTCTGAAGGTACAGAACAGCTTTATAAAAGGATTCCCACATTGCTTTGAAAATATCCTACTCTCCCCAAGCAATTAAAATAGTACCAAATTGAAGTATATGTATGTATACATATGTATGTACACATGTAAATGTATGTATATGTGTATATGCATCAATATAGATCCATATCTGGTCTATATCAGTAAGCACACTAACAATACTATTCTCCCCCTGTGAAAATTATCTATCTATATAAAAGGCAGTTATGTTTGTTAGAGGTACAGTTTTGATATCCTTCAGGCATTAACATTGCTTAGACGAAAAGAGGAATCAAGGTTAGCAAACAAAGTTTTTTTCCATGGTAATATGATGTAAAGTGCTTAAGTGGGTAAATGTGTAAGGGAGAGAGAGTGTGTGTGTCTGCGTGTCTGTGTGTGTGTGTGTGTGTTTACATATACTCAGGTGAACAGGTTGGCTAATATTTTCAGAATAGAATTTTATCCAGACACTCTGTGCATTAATCTCTATTTTTCTTGGACCAGACAGGGCAAAAAATCTGAATTCCCCAGAAGAGATAGACTAGAATTGATGTTACAAAATGATCTAGCTATGCCCTAAACTTTAATAAATGTATTTTAATCCAGCTCAAAAACGAAAGGCAAATGTTTATCTGAAGTGCAACAATAGCGACTTTTAAAAAAGAACTCCTCCCCCACCCTAAAATAGTCTAAATAATGCTTTAAAACCTTAGCTTTGAGTCGCTCTTTTATTTTTGGTCTTATTGAAGTTTTCTTCCATTTTGATTCCTAAATTTCAGATTATTCTATGAGCCAGTCACAACACCTTGTGGGCATACTTTTTGCTTAAAATGCCTAGAAAGATGCCTAGATCACAACGCCAAGTGTCCATTGTGCAAAGACGGTCTTTCACAGGTAAATCAATATTTCTTTGTTTGGTTTAAATCAGTATTTCTTTCTTGTTAGGTTTAGCTTATTTGGAATTGGGCACTAAGACAGTGTTCAACTGGACCCCAAGCCACTGCACTGTGGTAGGGCACATTACTCCCTCAAACCATCTATTTCTCCTGTCTTTTTTTTTTTTTTTTTTTTAGATGGAGTCTCCACTCTGTCACCCAGGCTGGAGTGCAGTGGCGCGATCTCGGGTCACTGCAACCTCCACCTCCTGGGTTCCAGCAATTCTCCTGCCTCAGCCTCCCAAGGAGCTGGGATTACAGGCACATGCCACCACACTCAGCTAATTTTTTTTTTTTTTTTGAAACAGAGTCTTGCTCTGTCACCCAGGCTGGAGTGCAGTGGCGCAGTCTTCGCTCACTGCAAACTCCCCCTCCCGGGTTCACGCCATTCTCCTGCCTCAGTCTCCCAAGTAACTGGGACTACAGGCGCCTGCCACCATGCCTGGCTAATTTTTTTGTATTTTTAGTAGAGATGGGGTTTCACCGTGTTAGCCAGGTTGGTCTCGATCTCCTGACCTCGTGATCCGCCTGCCTCGGCCTCCCAAAGTACTGGGATTACAGACGTGAGCCACCGCGCCTGGTCTAAGTTTTGTATTTTTAGTAGAAATGGGGTTTCACCATATTGGTCAGGCTGGTCTCGAACTCCTGACTTCAGGTGATCCACCCACCTCAGTCTCCCAAAGTACTGGGATTACAGGCGTGAGCCACCATGCCCAGCCTATTTCTCCTATCTTATAGCCACTGTTCCCATCTCCATAAAGCCCTTCAGGAAAATGAGGCAACATGCAGTTTTTTATGCGGTGTAAGTAGGGAAATCAATTTGTGTTGGAAACAAAAGTGTTAAATAGATGATAAACTTGGATCCTGGTTCTGATCTCATCATGGCACCTGATATACTGTGATCTTGAGTAAATCTTTTGTCCCCTCTAGGATTGGACTAGGTAAGCCCTGATGTTCCCTTATCATCAATGTTTATTCTGTGGCTTGAAGATAACAGCTCCAAAGGCCCCAGGAGAACCTCACAGAACTTCAGAGTGATCCTTGTCCAACCCCTCAGGAGCCACTGTACCTGGAAGCCCTAGAGCTTTTGCAGTAAGCCAATTTAGCAGACAGCAGCCCTCTAGGACTTCCAGGTTCTCTAAAACTAATCACACAGACTCCCACCTTTGTTTTTCAAGTGAACCGGAAGGAATTTCCTATAGAAAAAGAAGACCTGAGAATCCATCTTGTTTTCCCTCCCTCAGGGACTTATGTGCCACATTTTATGATTGGTGTTAATATTCCTTGACCCCTGTCATTCCTGGGGAGAGGTTGGAGATGCAAGGCTATCTCTAGGTGACTACAGGTCAAGAGAAGTCACATGTTGAGCTTTACCATCACCCCAGTATTTAAATTAAGGGAATAGAGTGAAATAATCATCACTGGTAGCCCTCAGGGTATGTGTTGGGATTGGGAGGAGGGCCAATGTCATACCTTTCCCTAGATAAAAGTTGTAGGATTTGCAGGCCTGATTGTAGGTGAGAAGTCCATAATCCTTATACTTAAATAATACATCTGTGTTGTTGTAACACTGGAAAATTCAGATTAAGTGGAAAGAAGAAAAATCTACCCATATGCTCAGTACCTAGAGAAACTCACTGTTAGTTAACATTTTAGTATGTGCCTTTTCTGGCTTTTTGTTTTAGCATCAGCAGAGGAGTCACCTACTTTTTGGACCGACTACCTCCTCAATCACTGCTTATCCCCCAAAACTGGGACTGGGAAGTGCAGTTGATTTTCCCATAGCCAGGCAATGGCAGTGACAGTGGCAGATAAGGCATCCTGGAGACAGATGCTATACGGTTCAGGACTTGGGGTCTAGAAGATATTCTCATCTATCTCTGTGTATTCACATAGGGTCACACTTGCACTATTTTACATAGGATTAAATATTCCAATCATGTTCACTGCAGAATAGAGACACAGCCCATACTGAGAAAGGAACAAAATTGTTTGAAGCCAACAGTTTTATACTCAGGCGCTCTCCTTGCTGGGACTGTAGGGGGAGTTTCCATAGCAAGCAATTCTCCGCAGATGTTTTAACATCAGTTGTTTGATTCACACTGTTAAATACCCACTACTTAAACATCCCTGGGTGTGCATCGGTCAGAGGTGTTTGGGAGAAGGATAACAGTGACAATTGAGCCTGAGTCCAGTTCTTGAAATCATGACTTTTAATCTCAGTGATACCTAGATGGTATATTAGAAAGGCAAATAGACAAATCAATATTTAGCTGTTTGTGTTTTTTAAAACTAAAATTAAAAGAGAAAAAATAGGTAGATTTGGCAATATCCAGAAGCCCAAGCATTGGGTTAGGCTGGGAGTGGGACAGGGCAGGAAAGGATCAGTGATTGAAAAATGCTTTTTAGTTCCCTGAACCTTTTGGCCACTAACTTTGAGCATATCCCAGATGGAGACCATTTCTGTGTGCTTGTAAACACGATCAACAGAAAATGGAAAGGGAAGGATTCCCCCCACCCCACTTTTTGGACAAGAACATGATCTTGATTTCAGTATTTCAGGAAAATTGTGAGAGTTTTAAAACTTCCATGCAGGTTTTACCCCCTTGTTAAAATATTTTTTTTTCTAATTATAAAGATAATCAATTGCATGTGTGGTTTTTAAAATGAAACTAACATCCAGAAAATACATATATTATGATGGTATCATCTGCTGATTTGTGGGTCCAGACTACTCCAATATGTGGGTCATGTGACTTGTCCAGTGATTATATCAGAAGTGTTTTGCTGATGACTGCGTATTACCTAATTGCATATTATCTAATTGCCTCCCCCCATATAGTGCTTGGCATCAAGAAAATACGGCAAAAATGTAATAATGGAGGAGCTCATAGCTAAATTCCTTCCAGAAGAACTGAAGGAACGAAGGAAGCTTTACGAAGAGGAAATGGAAGAACTTTCTAAGTATGTATATGCATATTTCTGTTTTGTTTCCCTCATACCAGCTCATGAGAGCTGAATGTGCACGTTAGTTCCCAGCTTCCGACTTAGTGATGTCCTGCCAGCTGCTTGAAATTGGCTATGGTAAGAGTATTTACACCATGGAAATTGGCAAGTGCTACAAACCAGGGCTTCCCCTGCACCCAGAGAGCCAGTTGTTAAACATACCAGCATACCACTGAAGAAGCATAAGCGAAACCAGTGATGAGGGTACACCCTGCCCCCAGTAACAGGGTATTTGTTGGCGAGAGTAAATTGGAGTAGCTTAATCAGGGGAACTTAACGAAATGGCCAAAAGATTGTTTTCAGATACATAAGGAGTTGCTATGAAGTTAAGAACTTTGGTGTCAACCAGAACCAGGCTTAAGACCCAGTTCTACCTCAACGTGAGTCTACTTCACAACCCTAGGCAGGTCACTTAACCTTTCTGGGCCTTAGTTTCCTTATCTGTAGCTTGAGAATAATTTAATAATTTGAGTTCTTACTTCATGGACTTATTTTTTGAGATTGAGCCTCACTGTGTCACCCAGGCTGGAGTGCAGTGGTGTGATCTTGGCTCACTGCAACCTCCGCCTTCTGGGTTCAAGCCATTCTCCTGCCTCAGCCACCCAAGTAGCTGAGATTACAGGCATGCACCACCATGCCCAGCTAATTTTTGTATTTTTTAATGGAGACAGGGCTTCACCATGTTGGACAGGCTGGTCTTGAACTCCTGACCTCAAATGATCCTCCCACTTGGATCTCCCAAAGTGCTAGGATTACAGGCGTGAGCCACCATGCCTGGCCACCTCATGAACTTCTTATGAAAATCAAATGACCTTGTGCATAGTAAGCACTTAATTAATGGTAATAATACTAATACTTGTTAAGTGCTTTCTCTGCCGTGCACAGGTAATGTGAAGGGTGAAGGGGAGGGTCAGAGGTGTCAGTGAGGCTCTCAGCCCTCCGCCTAGCTGTGAGAACAGCTCCCTTCGCAGAAAAAGCAGGAGGCAATCACTAATTTCTGCCTGTCTTGCTTCTGCCCTCCCCTCCCCCGATCCGCAGTAGAATCCTAACAGCATTCCAGAGGCAAGGTTCCTGACAGCAAAAATGGTTCTGGTTTCATGCCCACTGTGTAGAGAACATTCGTAAACTCTGCCAGTGACTTGTTTGAATGCACTCCTCACTTTGAATAATGTTTTTCTCAGAAACTAGAAATCATTTTTTTTCTCACTAATTTACATTGAAACTACTCAGGGGATCTTTATCTTTATTTCTGATCTGTAAATTAGCATTGAGCCTCTTGAGCCCTTATCTCAAATCTCATTTAAGGTCTTATTAACAAATACTGAGATGTATTAGGACTTTCTATGTAAATGAATCCTAAACTTGATCCTTTTGAGATTTGGGCAGTTGGTCTTGTATTTCTTGATAGGTTTAGGTTCAGATGTTCCTGTGTTGAATTTACTAGACAAATAAGAAGACAAGGATCCCAGAGGAGCTGGCTCTGTTTTGGTTCCCCAACAGGTTGTGTGTGTGACTCTCTGGGAGTACTTATTGAAAGGCAGGGCCGGGCATGGTGGCTCATGCCTGTAATCGTAGTACTTTGGGAGGCAGAGGCGGGTGGATTGCTTGAGGTCAGGAGTTCAATACCAGCCTGGCCAACATGGTGAAACCCCGTCTCTAATAAAATTACAAAAATTAGCCAGGCGTGGTGCCATGCACCTGTAATCCCAGCTACTTGGGAGGCTGAGGCAAGAGAATTGCTGGAACCCAGGAGGCAGAGGTTGCTGTGAGCCAAGATTGCACCATTGCACTCCAGCCTGGGTGACAGAGTAAGATTACGCTAAAAAAAAAAAAAGAAGAAGAAGAAAGAGAAAGGCAGACCCTTGGGTTCCAATTCCAGAGCTAATGCATCAGTATCTCTGGTAATGTGGTGTCCAAGTCATCTTGATTTAAGAGCCCCTGGTGATTCTGATGCAAAGAAGCATTTGAGCATCACTGGGCTGGATTACTCTTGCCTATCTCTTGGTCCTTCCTCCTTTCAGCTGTGCCTACTTTGCAGATTCTTTGGGGTCCTTGCAAATTTGAGGTGCCCTAGGGACCTTACATAGAATTTCCCACCACCCTTCTGGAGAGCTGAGTCCACTTCTATCATCAGCAGCCTTCCCCATGCAGCCTGAAAAACACCTGAAGAGGTTGTTTTGAGTAGAGAGCGTGAAAGAAAGAAAGACATGAGTTATAGCTGTCACCCACAATATTAAGGTGCTAGAGAACTTTTTCAGCCAAATTAAAATGTGTAGAATGCCAATTTTAATTTCTTAGACCTTAGGCTAACCTCTGCATCGGATAATGGAACTCAGCCCACACTATCAATTGCATTTCAATATTTTTCTATTAGCCATCAAAACTTGATGTATCTTTGGCAAGTGACACCGTCAAAAAACGAACTGGTGTCTCTTTGCCTTCCCCCAGGGGTATCACATGCTAACATTTGACCAACATTTTTGTGTTCTGTCCGATTGCTTTGAGATCCCTGTCATTTGCTCTCTCTGACAGCCTTAATAAGAATGTGCCTATTTTCGTGTGTACTATGGCCTATCCCACCGTTCCTTGTCCCCTGCACATCTTTGAGCCTTGTTACCGCCTGATGATTCGTAGATGCATTGAGACAGGCACGAGACAGTTTGGCATGTGCCTTGGAGATCCTGTCAAAGGGTAAGTAAGGAGCCATGCGAGCAAAAAGAGCTTGTGTAATGAGGGATTTCTCTTTTACTTTGGGGTACTCCCAGGAGATGAGGAGGCCTAGCTCATGAGGTTAGCCAACTGAAGAATATAAGCATTGTAAGGATCATGGTCCCTTTGGTGGTTAGTTTACCATGTGAGAGACTGTCTATTTAAAGACTCTAGAATTAATATTTGGTTAAACAAGTGGTGTATGTTATAAAACTTGTAAGAATGTGGGCCTTGGAGTCAAACTGCCTGTGTTCATTATCTAGTTGCAACCTTGGAGCAAGTTTGAGTTTGAGCAAGCTATTTAACCTCTCTGTATCCCAGTTTCCTTATCTGTAAAGTGGGTACAATAATAGTACCTACCTCGTTGGGTTTGCCGGGAAGATTGGTGAGTTAATAATGTACATAAAATGCTGAGCACAGTTCCTGGCTTCCTTAGTCCATTTTGTGCTACTGTAATAGAATGCCACAGACTAATAATTTATGAACAATCGAAATTTATTTCTCATGGTTCTGGAGGCTGGGAAGTCCAAGATCAATGTGCTGGCATCTGGCAAGGGCCTTCTTCCTTTGTCATAACATAGTGGAAGGGCATAGCAGAAGGGCAACAGAGAGAGAGAAAGAAGGGGGTCAAACTTGCCCTTTTGTATTAATAACAACCCTACTCTACTTTCACCATATCAGCATTAATGCACTCATGAGGGTGGAGGCCTAATCACCTCTTAAATGTCCCACCTCTTAATAATACTACAATAGCAATTAAATTTCAAAATGGGTTGTAGAGACAAACATTCAAACCATAGCACTGGCACGGCACATAGTATGTGCTCAATAAATGGTAGCAGTTACACAAACACATTATGATTTGTTTTTCTTCACACAGGCACTGCCTGTTGTATACTTGAAACTATAACCCAGGGACAGGAAAATAGGCAGAAGTCCCTTGAGCCACAGCATGGGGTTACAGAAATGGCTGGGTGCCAGGCCAGGGAAACAGAACTCATCAAGGATCTATTCTCTCGACTCCATTCTCAATAAACAGGTTTGCAGAATATGGCTGCATCCTAGAGATCAGAAATGTTCAATTCTTTGCCGATGGCCGCTCAGTGGTTGACAGCATAGGAAAGAGGCGCTTCAGGGTGCTCCATCAGAGCCAGCGGGATGGCTACAACACAGCCGACATTGAATACATTGAAGACCAAAAGGTGAGGGTGGCCAGTGCCAAGAATCCCAAAGCCAGGCTATCCTTGTAACTTGGTACACAAAGATAATTGCGAAAGGATTTCTCAGAGCCCTTGAGGGCCTTGGGATTTCACACCAAATTGCTGCAGCAGCATTGAATGCTGCTGGATTGCTATCCAGTTGCAGTACGGCAGTGAGGGCACCTATTGTCCTGGTTCTGCTTAGCTACTGGGTTGCATTCATGCGTAAGAAATGCTATCCTAGATCAACCCTGGGGCTCATTCAGCTTGGGAGTTAAGTCTTTGTCAAAGATACCAAGGAATAGATCTGGGGTGGGTCTATATATACGTATATATTTTATCCATCGATTTATGTATATTTTAAACTTTTTTCTTTTGAGACAATTATAGATCCACACATGCATTTGTATTTTAAAGTACGTAACCTGGCTAAGAGCCCTTCGCAATAATCCATCATCCCATAAAGCAGAAAGATGACACATCTAGTTAATCCTTGGTTTTCTGAGCTAATGGGTGCAAGAAGAGGTAAATAATCCTGTGTTCATTTATATTTACATTTGTTACATGGTAGATTAATAAATATCTGATGACTAAGTAAATGTGTTTGACCAAGATAGTTACATGCTAAGACTGACATACTCCTGTGTGTTTTCCAGCTAGCAATGGGAAAACAGATGTAAAAATGAAAAGGGCAAAGGCATGGACCAGCATAACCTGATTTAACCACATGCCTCCACTCAGGCTGGTTTGAATCTCTGGTTTTCTGCATGTTTTGCTGTTTCAGCTAATCTACCAGCTGAGCCCTTCTCCTTCCTCCATGCTAAGCAGTATCTACACACTGTCCAGCACTTCACTAAGGGGAATTTCACATCAAGCACAGGAGAAAGCTGGATGGGTGAGCCTTCCCATAAGAAGGCAGAATGGATGCTCAAAGCGAGTCAGGTGTCAAAAGTGACTCCGGGAATGATGGAGAGGGTATAGAATGTTTCACTTCCACTTTGATATTTTCAGGTTCAGGGAGAGGATTGTGCTGAGCTCATGGGATTACATAACTGTGTCTATCAGCAAGCGTCATTGTGGTTTCATTCACTCAAATCATCCCTAAAGAATCGGATACTCAATCACTTTGGTCCCATGCCGGAGAAAGACGCTGATCCTCAGGTATAGAAAAATGTCTACTTTAAACGGGTTGCCCCACTAGAAGAGAGTGCCTAGTGTTTGTGATTAGATGGGTATGTGGTTGCCATTCAGCACATTGAATACAGAGAGGAAGATGGATTTAATTTGGTGTTGTTTGGCTGCATAGTGTCATGAGTAAGACCAAAAAGATCCCAAGTTAGAATTGGGGGTAACTAAAGTAAAGCAGTAGGAACTTGGATTCAAGGAAGGTTTTGAGAACTAAGTAAGATAAGAGAATGGGAACATAGATATCACCAACAGAAGAACCTTCCATGGGAGTCCAGATTCACACCATGGTAATGTTAGGGTGACAAGATACGTGCAAAGGCCAGGACTAAAGAGAAGGGTATCCTGGGAGCTGAGACCAAAAGCTGCTGCTTTTAGGTAACTTCATAACCCTCTCCTTCATTGCTTTGGGAACTAGGGGATAGGGCCAGCTACCCTTATAAGATTACAACTGCAAGACCACAAAAACTTTTCATGCCTTGGTCTATCTATGCTTTGCCCTGCAAGTCTAGACCCTTGCTATTGTCCTCACCAGGGCTGAACAGCTCCTGAGAAAACTGACCCCATCATTAAATACTGTTGGTTGAGTTATACTAGAAAGTAGTTTGTTAGGTTCTACTGATCAGTGTTTTTCCTGGGGGATAGGCCTATTTGCAAGATCAAACTGCAGATCAGAAGCTCTCTAGGAGAGTGGAGATGGTTTTCACTAAGCTTTGCTTGCCTGGTATAAATCAGGGAGTACTTTCTTTCTAGGATAAGGCTGGAGATATCCTAACCACATACTTCCTCATCACCATCTTTTTCTATGCTCTGAGCTGGCTCTCCTACATCAACACTCACAGAACTTCCTTGATTCTTTACTTATGCTCATCCTCAACTCTGTCACAAAAGAAATATCTAAATATGCATATTCTGACCAAAAGTCTGGTCCTTCTTACCTTTCTAGCAGTATAACCTTGGGAAGATCCCTTTCCCTTTCTCAACTTTTGTCCCATCTCTGACATGAGGAGGGGTCTAAAACCACCTCTTCCTCTTGCATTCTGAGGTTCTAAGACACCAGTCTGTTCCCTAATGAGCTGAAACGTCTTGCTTTCCTCAGACCACAAAAGTGGCTCCTTCCCCACCCATGCAAAGGCATCATGAGTCTTCAAGGGAGAAAGGCCAGTTAGTGCTTCCTGTGACCCAGCTCCTGGCTCTGGGCCACGGTGAGTCAGGACTGCAGCATATACTTCTGAGCAAACTCACGATCAAGCTTAATGTTCCCCTTCACCTTCCGGGAAGCGTTCTCCCTTAGGCAAAAGATACAGATCAGCAATGGTAACGGGAAAACACAGATGCTACAGTGTGATTCATAAAGGCTAATGACAGAGAAAGTTGAAATCTTGGCTTTCACTTCCTTTTTTCTTAGTTCTGTTATTATGTTGCTTTGGCAGCAGCAGCACCAGCAAAAAAGAAAAACCCAAACCCATCCCAGTTTGCTCCAGTCAATGCTGCAGCCCCAGTGGTCCCACAAATAAGAATGTTCTGTCAGGAGGATGTTTCTTAGAAACTGCCACAAGTGTTAATACCAGCTTAAATATCTTTGTTGGTGATCCTTGGAAAAAAAGTTCAGAACATCAGTCTAATATTCAGAACTGATAATAGGAGGGAGAGCATGTTGCCAGCTTCAGGGAGGGACAAAAAAGAATGCAAATGAAGCTAGAGGCACAAAGAAGCAAAGAAGGCAGTGAGATGTGGTGACGATCAGAGGAACCAATTTGGAGCCAAATAATTTCAGGTGTAGGCACTTTTACCAGAATGGTTCTCTGTAGTCCTAAAACCAAACTTGTGAAAGTTGTGGGCAGAAAGCTCGTTTTAGGCTTAGAAGGAAATAAGTTCCCAATGTCTAAAATATGTGCCAGGGAAGCTGCTTACAAACAGAATTTTGGGGAAGGATTTATGTGGAATAGGAAAGCTCTTTATCTTAAAAGGAAATCTAGGGGCAGAATATATTT